GGCCTTTCAACTGATTAGATGAAGCCCACTCAAATTATCCCACTTAATTTCTATTACTTAATGCAAACTAAGTATAGGTATTAACTAATCTACAAAATCTCTTCAAGACACCTGCGATTAGTGTTTAACTGAATAAATGGGTACTATAGCTAAGCCAAGTTGACATAAAACAAATTATCACAAAGATGAAAGGGGAATACTTTATAACACAAAGTGTTTAACTTACCAGGAAGATATGACGATATTAAATTTTCTATACATTAAACAACATAACCTCAAACCGTGTAAAGCAAAAACTGATGTAGATGGAACACAAAAGACACAGACACATACCCACAATTAGACTGCAATTTTTTTGTTTTTATTTAAAATCTCACTAACAGAACAGCTAGTCCCAAATCACTAAATACATAAGCAATTTTAAAAACAAGATTAATGAACTTGATCTAATTAAGATATATAGATTATCAAGCTCATCAATTTCAAAATACATATTGTTTACAAGTACACTGGAAAATTTACAAAAATTTACCATATACGTATGTGCAGGCCCATAATCAAATCTGAAAAATTTTATAAGATTAAATCCTACAGAAAATATTTTTTAACCCATGTAAAATAAGACAAGTAAATAACCAAAAGTTCACTGGGAAATCTCTGTATGTTTGAAAATTAAGACATAGGTTTATATAATTCATAGGTCAAAAAACACCATCAAAATAGAAACTAGAAACTATTTTTACTTGAATAATGGTTTAAAAATGATAAAATTTCTCGGATTCAGCTAATGGCTGACTGAGAGGGAAGTGTATCGTCTACAATGCATACATTATTTTAAAAGAAAGACTACGCATCCATCTCATGATTTTGGAAAAATAACGCATTATGCTCAAAAAAGTAAGAGATGTTGTTACATAAAAAAAAATTACAAAAAAGTGAGGTATGGTTGTTACATAATTGTAAATAAAGTTATGAATGAAATAACAGTTATTCACATTAAAGTCTGTAAGCACACTTGACCGGTATTTTTTTTCAGTATTTAATTTCATATGGAAACAGAACTTAATATAATTCATATACAGGAAACTACATAAATTTTGTTAGATAGTCATGTTGTAAATGGAAGAGAAACGCCCCCTTGTGGGTTCTTTAAGGATAATTTCTAGCGCGGCAGTGAAATCACTCTGAAAAGCACGTAAAATTAAAGGATTTATTACATTCACAGGTTCTAAAAAGGGAGGCACAGTAGGCTCAGATGGCGACCCAAAGTCACCAAGAGCCCAAAGTTTGATCATAACAAAGAAGAAGCGGAGGAATGTTCTATGGGCAATGGGCAGATACCTTTATTGAGAGTCATGGGTGGGGTAGTTTGTAGTACCCTGGAAGCATTCACATTAGATAATTTGTAACAGAATCAGCGTGGAAAAGAGGAAAGGGACAAAATACGGAAGTCATCATGAGATTTATTACTTCAACACACATGTTGAGAATGGGTACCCAGAAAAGGGAAGTAGCTACATAAAAGTTCAAAACAAGCAAGGGCGGGGGTGGTGCTGGCACTCAAGGAGCCAGTGACAGAACAAATAGCCGCCACACAAGATTAATAAAATTTATTATCACATAGATTAAGATAGAAAACATTTACATCATTCAGAATGTTCCCTTTGCCTCTTTTCAATCCCCTGTCACCCAGAGTCAGCCACTATTTTGATTTTTATCACCATAGATTAGTTGGGTCTGGTCTTAATACAAATGGAATCATACAATATGTATGCTTAGGGTTCTGGCTTCTTTCATACAACATAGTGTTTTGGGGATTCGTCCACGTTGCATTATTAAAAATGTTTCTCTTCTTATGGTTTGATAAGTTTTCGTTACATAAGCATACCAATTTTGTTGTTTAACCATTCTCCTTAAACCATCAATAAACATTTGTTTCCAGCTTTTGACATGTATGAGTAAAGCTTCTATGAACATTGGTCTAAATCTTTGTGTAGACATTTGAGTACATTTTTCTTAGGTATTTGGCTAAGGGTGGAATTGTTATGTAGTAACTTATTAGAAACTGCTACATAGTTTTCCAAGGTGGTTTTCCATTTTCCATTTTCATCAGCATAATGAAATTTGTTGTTGCTTCACATTCTCAGCAACATTTTCTTTGCTATTTTAGTAGATGTGATATCACATGTGGATTCAATTTGTATTTTCCTTATTATAATAACTGCTATTCACATATCTTTTCTGATGTGCCTATTCAAGACTTGGAAAGCTTTTTTTTTTTTTTTTAATTTGATTTTCTTTTTATTACTGACTAGTATGAGCTGTTGATTGATTCTGGATACAAATGTTTCAAGTATGTATACTAAGAATATTTTTCCAGTCTCTGGTTTGTTTTGTTTTGGTTTTGTTTTTACTTCCTTAATGATGTATTTGATAAAGAATGTTTAATTTTAAAGATTAATATATCAACTTATTTTTACATATTTGGGACATTTCAGTGCTATGCTTAAGAAAACTTTGCTTACACCAAGTTCAGGAAGACAGTTTGTTTTCTGCTAGAAAATTTTATAGATTTTGCATTTTATTTCATGACTCACCTTCAACTAATTTTTATATTATTTAGTAAAAACCTTTTCCTTTCTTTCTTTTAAATTTTTTGTATATAAATATTCTGTTGTTCCAACACCATTAGTTGAAATAATTTTTTTTTAGTTTTTTTTTAGTGTTTGTTTATTTTTTTTAATTTTTTAAATGTTTTTATTTATTTTTGAGACAGAGCATGAGCAGGGGACGGGCAGAAAGAGAGGGAGACACAGAATCCCAAGCAGGCTCCAGACTCTGAGTTGTCAGCACAGAGCCTGATGTGGGGCTCGAACTCACAGACTGTGACATCATGACCTGAGCTGAAGTCAGATGCTTAACCGACTGAGCCACCCAGGTGCCCCCCTTTCTTTTTAATTTTTTTTAATGTTTGTTTATTTTTGAGAGAGAGAGAGAGAGACAGAACGTGAGCAGGTGAGGTGCAGAGAGATGGAGACACAGAATCTAAAGCAGGCTCCAGGCTCTGAGCTGTCAGCACAGAGCCTGACTCGGGGCTGGAACCCACGAACTGTGAGATCATGACCTGAGTGAAGTTGGGTGCTTAACCGACTGAGCCACCCAGCTGCCCCTGAAATAAATATTTTTTAATGGATTTTTTTTGGCTATTCCAGATCCTCTGCATTTTATTTTTTGAAACTAGAATCAAAAACCTCCTGGGTTATTGATTCTCATTGCATTGAATCTTTAAGTCAATTTGCAAAGAAATTATATCTTATGTTGAGTCATGTAATTTATGACTATAAATATAACTCCATAAATGTAGTTATTTGTTCAAGTTGTCTAAAAGTTTTTTGGTTAGCGTTCACTATGGAAGTCTTGAAAATTGTTCTATGGTATATTTTTATAGATAGTAATCTCCTTTAAATTCTTTTTCTAACTGGGGCGCCTGGGTGGCTCAGTCATTGAGCATCCGACTTCAGCTCAGGCCATGATCTCACAGTCTGTGAGTTTGAGCCCTGCATGGGGCTCTGTGCTCCCACCACAGAGCCTGGAGCCTGCTTTGGATTCTGTGTCTCCCTCTCTCTCTGCCCCTCTCCCACTCATGCTCTGTCTCTCTCTGTCAAAAATAAACATTAAAAAAAATTAAATTCATTTTCTAATAGATGTTTCTGGTATCTAAGTACAATTGATTTTTGTATATTGTTCTTGACCTTTTCAAATTCACTTAATTGTTCTAACAAATGGTTTGTATGCTCTTTTAGATTTGCTGCGTATATAATTATGTCACATGCAGATAAAGACAATTTGATTTCCTGCTTTCATCTATTTATCTATCTAATATATATCAATTAGTTCCTCTAAGATGACAATGTATAGAAGAGATGAGGGCCTACACACACACACACACACACACACACACACACATACTGTATGAATACTATTTACTTATTGAAGAAGTTTTTTTCTATTATGAGTGGAATGAATATTTTTTAATTTTTTTCAAACATCATTGAACATGTTTTGAAGTCCACAGAGAAAATTATATAGTTTTTTTACTTAATGCTTTTAATTGGAATGATAGATATATATATTTTTTAATTTATTTATTTATTTTGAGAGAAAGAGCATGGATGAGAGACAGAGAGAGGGAAAGAGAGAATCCCAAGCAGGGCTCCATCCTATGAACTGTGAGTTCATGACCTGAGCCAAGACAAAGAGCTGGAAGTTCAACCAACTGAGCTACCCAGGCACCTCTGTAATGATAGATTTTTGAATGTTATAAGTATCTTTCATCCCTAAGCTAAATCTGTCTTGGTCATAATATATATATTTGTTTAATTTGTTTCTTTCCTTCTTTCTTTCTTCTTTCTTTCTTTCTTTCTTTCTTTCTTTCTTTCTTATTCTTTTTTAAATTTTAATTCCAGTGTAGTTAACAAACTGTTATATTGGTTCAGGTGTACAATATAGTGATTTAACAATTCCATATATCACTCAGTGCTTATCAAGATAAGTGTATTCTCATGATATATTGTTCTTATTATATATTGCTAGATTTCATCTGCTGATGTTTTGTTAATTATTTAAAATTTTATGTCCTGGAGGGATATTGGTTTCTAGTTGTTTTTTTTTTCTAGTTTTCCTCCTTTCTTTCTTTCTTTCTTTCTTTCTTTCTTTCTTTCTTTCTTTTTCTTTTTGGTAATGTCCTTGCCAGATTTTGATATCAAGATACATAGGCTTTTTTAAAAAAATAATCCTTTTTTTTACATTCTCTGAAGGAGTTTGGGTAAAATTGATGTTATTTTGCTTTAATTTTTTATAGAATATACTAATTAAACAATGTGGGCCTAAGGGTTTATTTTATGGAGAAGTTTCAAATTACTTTATTTCACAAACATAAGACTATTCTAATTTTCCATATGATGTTAGGTCAGTTTGAAAAGTTCTGTTTTTCCTCAAAGTTGCTGTATCTGGATCAGCAAGAGGCAAAAAAGGAAACCTGGACCCTCCTTCTCCGCACAGACATGCTGATTCAACAACATGGACCAATTTCTTTTGTTAGAAATCCAGAAACCTGTTGAAAGGCTCTTGCCACTGAGATGATAGGGACAAAAGCCAAAATGAATAAAATGACACCTTACTCATAATCTCTTCCCCCTACTCCGTGCCACGGCAATCAAGAGAAAAACCAGAACTCCCAGCTTCTCCCTAAGAAGGGAAGGAGAGGACTGGGTCATATGTCCAAAGTTAAGACTATTTAGGGGGCTGCCCAAGGTACCAATTACTGTACTGAGTACGAGCACTGATTGGAAAAGGGCCCAGGTCTGGGAACCCTGAGAATATAGTCCGCAGTTTGAACTAGCACGCTCTATTAGCCAAAGTGCTTCCCCTGGTTCAGCACTGAGCAAGCGAGAACACCCACATCCTTCCTTCTCCCTGGAAAGAGTCGAAGCATGCAAGAGGGAAAGAGAAAAATAAAACATATATCTAACATTCAGACTTTTCAGGGAACTCCCCAAGGGACTGGTTTTTGTCTTGCCTGTCTCTAAGTACGGACAGGATATAGTACACTCTGGGTGCCTTGGGACCAGCATATGCTGCTTCTTCACAGGAACTACAAGATAACAGACACCAGAGGGAGCAAGATATCATAAACTCTTGAAAAAATAAACCAACAAATTCTTATAATTATGAATTTACATAGGCAAGTTTGGAGAAAAAACACATCCACCAAAAACTTTTGAGAGGCCCACCAGAATCTCTAGCTAGGGTAATTGGTGAAGGTCTTCCCATATATGAAGCCAGTCCAGAGAAACTAAGAAAAAGCGCTGTTTTTTCAAATATGCAGATACCCACACTGTTGAGGGCATTAAACACACACACACACATACACAGGAAACAAAAGAAAACACCAAAAGAAAAAGGGGTTTCATTACCTAATAAAGAATTCAAATTATGATCATAAAGATAATTAGTAAGTTCCGGAAAACAATTTATGAATAAGTTAGAAATTTCCAAATAAAGATAGAAAAAAATACAGAAATTTTGGAGCTGAAAAATAAAATAGCCAGACTGAATAATTCACTAGAAAAGTGTAATAATAGACTTTACCAACTAGAAGAGAGAGTCAGCAAACTTGAAGACAGGAAGAACATTTGAAATTATCCTATCACAGAAGCAAAAACAAAAAAAGAATGAAAAGGTGTGAAGAAAGCCTAAGGGACTTCTGTGTCTTCATCAAATAAATCAATACATGCACTATGGGAGTCCTAAGAGGGAAGAGAGAGACAGAAGGGACAAGAGAGCTTATTGAGAAAAATAATGACCAATGCCTTTTCTCTATTAAGATGGTCGATCATGTGTTGTATTTCTTTCATTTTGTTAATGTGTTGTATAACATCAATTAATTTGCATACATTGAAACATCTTTGTTCGAAGGAGTAAGTTCCACTCAGACATGGTGTATAATCCTTTTAATGTGCTGATGAATTCAATTTACTACCATTTTATTAAAGACTTTTTCATTTATATTCATCAAGAATATTTTACTGTAGTTTTCTTTTCTTGTGTTGTCTTTCTCTGGCTTTGGTATTAGTCTGATACTTGCCTCACAAAATGAGTTTGGAGTTGTTTTCTTCTCTTTTACTTTTTGTAATAGTAAGAAGAGTTGGCATTAATTGTTTTTAAAATATTTGGTATAACTGACCCATGAAACCATCTATTCCTGGGCTTTTGATTATTGATTCAATCTTCTTATTTGTTATTGGTCTCTTCAGGTGTTTTATTTCTTGATTCAGTTTAGCTTTTGACAAAGTTCAATATCAATTCATGATCAAAACTCCCAACAAACAAGGTATAGAAAGAGCTTACTTAACACAATAAAGGTCATATATGAAAATTCCACAGATAATAGTTTAATCAGTGGGGGAAAACTAAAAGCTTTACCTCTAAGATACTGTACAAGGCAAGAACGCCCACTATCAGTACTTCTATTCGACATAGTACAGGAAGACATAGCAAGAGCAATTAGATAAAAAAATAAAAATAAGAAAAGAAATAAAAGTCATTCAAATTGAACAAAATTAACTCTGCAGATGGGATGATCACATATGTGGAAAACCTTTAAAAGGTAAGGAAAAACTGTTAGAAGTAGTAAGTAAACTTAGAAAATTTGTAGCATAAAAAACCTAGTTGCATTTCTGTGTACAATGAACTATCTGAAAAGGAAAATAAGAAAACAATACCATTTACAATTCTGCCCAAATATTTGAAGTTAAGAATGAATTACCAAAAAGGTAAAAACAAACAAAACCCTTGTACACTGAAAATAACAAAACGTTAATGAAGGAAATTACAATAGACACAAATAGAAATGTACCCCACATTCTTGGATTGGAAGAACTAATATTGTTAAAATGTTCGTACTTTTCAAAGCAATGAACAGATTCAGTGCAATCCCTATCAAAATCCAATGATATTCTTCACAGAAATAGAAAAGACAATTGTAAGATTCATATGGAATGACAAAAGACTCAAATAGCCAAATCAATTTTGAGGAAGAAGAACACAGCTGGAGGCACAATAGTTCTTGATTTCAAACTATATTACAAAGCTATAGTAATCAAAGCAATATGGCTCTGGCATAAAAAGGACACATATCCCAGTGGAATAGAAAAGAATGCCCAGAAATAAATGCATGGTCAGCTGATCTTCAAAAGGGGTGCTAAGAAAAGATAATTTCTTCAATAAATGGTTGGGGAAACTGAATATCCACACACAGAGAATGAAATGGAACCGTTAATGTCCATTGTATACAAAAATCAACTCAAAGTAGATTAAGCACTTAAACATCAGCCTGAAAATATAAGCAGCTATAAGAAAACATTAAAAAAAATACTTTGCATTGGTTTTGGCAATGACTTTTTGGATATGACACCAAAAGCAGAGGCCACAAAAGCAAAAATACACAAATGTGATTACATCAAACTAAAAGCTTTTGCATAGCAAAGAAAACAATCAACAGAGTAAAGAGGTAACCTACTAAATGGGAGAATACAGTTTTAAGCTATATATCTAATAAGGGGTTGATACCAAAACTATACAAGGAACTCAAACAACTTGATATCTAAAAAACAACAAAAATGGGATAAGAGCACGAACAGACATTTCGTGCTTCTTTAAAGAGAAGACACACAAATGAACAAGTATGTGAAAAGATAGATATCACTAATCATCAGGGAAATGCAAATCAAACTACAATGAAATATCACCTCACACCTCTTTAAAAGGCAATAATAAGAAAGACAAAAGATAACAGATGTTGGCAAGAATGGAGAAAGGGTAATCTTTGTTCACTGTTGGTGGGAATGCAATTTGAAACAGTATGAAAATTCCTCAAAAACTTAAAAGTAGAACTACTAAATGATGATATAGAGGCCCAATTCTAGGTATATATCCAAAGGAAATTAAGTCAGTATCCGAAGAAATATAACACTCTTATGTTCATTGGGGCATTATTTATAACAGTAAGATATAGAAACAATCTTAGGTGTCTATTGATGGATAAATGGATAAGGAAAATGTGAAAATAAAATTCAGCCATAAAAAAAGGCATAAATCCCGCCATTTGCGATGACATCCATAATATCTGAGGAAATTATGCTAAAGTGAAATAAGCCAGGCACAGAAAGAGAAATGCTGCATGATCTCACTTATATGTGGAATCTAAATAAATCACACTCATAAAAATAGAGAGCAGAATGGTGGTTCTAGGGGCTTAGGGATATAGGTTTGATGGATAGATGTTACTCAAAAGGTACAAAGGTTCAGTTATGAAAGATGAATCAGTTTTGGAGAACTAACCTACAGGATGTTAATACTGTTTTCCTGTATATGTGAATTTTGCAAAAGTAATTGATTTTCTGTTCTTACCACAAACACACAAATTGTAATTATGTGAGGTGATGAATATGTTAATTAGCTCAATTGGGATAATCATTTCACAAGGTATATGACTATGAAAACATCATGTTGTATGCCCTAAATATATATAATTTTTATTGAAAATGTACCTCAGTGAAGCTGGAAAAATAAATATATATTTTTTAATAGAAAATTATATACTGGGCAAAAATTTTCCAACTCTAGGGAAAGGCAATGTAATTCAAGAAGCCCAAAAATCTTAAAATTGGATAAATCAAAAGTATTCCACACCAAAATGCATTATAATCAAATTGTCAAAACTTAAATATCATTTTGAAAGAAGTAAAAGCAATTTGTAACATAAATAAAACCCTTATAAAACAATGAGTAGATTTTTAATAAAAACCTTGCTGGTGACAAGGAAATGGCATGATATATGTAAAGTGCTGCAAGAAAAAAAGAATCTGCCAAACAAGAATACTATAGTGGGAAAAACTGTCCTTCAAAATTGAAAGAGATATGAAACTTCCCAGATAAACAAAACCTGACATAGTCCAACACTACGAGGCCTGTCTTATAAAATGTGCTAAAGGGAGTCCTTCCAGGTGAAATAAAAGAATACAAAAAGAACACTAAAGCATATGAAAGTATAAAGCTCTCTGGTAAAGGTAAGTATATAGACAAATACAGAATATTGTACTATAGTAACAACAGGGCATGAATCACTTTAAATTCTGGTATATAAGATAAAGAGGTTAAAAAATTATGATAATAAAAATATGTTAATAGATATACAATGTAAAAAGATATAATGTGTAATATTAATAAAAAAGTGTGTGTGGGGAGAAATAAAAGTGTAGAATTTTTGTATGTGATTGAAGTCAAAATGTTATAATGTTAAAATACATCATTATACCTATGTTTTATGTAAACCTAATGATTACCACAAAGATAATACCTATAGAAGATACACAGAGGAAAATGAGGCTGGAATCAAAGCACATCACTACAAAAAAATTAACAAAATACAAAAGAAAACAGTAATCAAGGAAAGGAGGAACAGATGGGCTACAAGACAGATAAGAGGCAATGAAGAAAATGACAATAGGAAGTCTCTATCAATAATTACTTCAAATATAAATGGATAAAAATTCCAAGTCAAAGTATATAGATAAGATGAATGGATATATAAAAAAGAAAAAGACAAGATACAGCTATATGATGAATACAAGAAGCTCACTGTAGATTTAAAGTCACACCTAAGCTAAAAGTTAAAAAAAAAAAAGGAAACAAATATTAAATGCAAATGGTAACCAAAATGGAATAAAGATGACCATACTCATATCAGACAAATTAGAACTTAAGTCAAGAAATGCCACAAGAAATAAAGACAGACATGATATTGTAATAAAATTGCCAATTCAGTAGTAAGATATAACAATTATAAATATATAAACAACCAACATTAATACACATAAATATATGAAACAAATGTTGACAAAACTGAAGAGAGAAAGAGCAACAATAAACAGAGTATCCAGGCAGTAGATTAATAAGGAAACCAAAGACCTGAACACTACAGACCAAATGACCCTAAGAGACATATACAGAACAGTCCATCCAAAAGCAAGAAAATAAACATTCATCTCAAACATGGAGCATTCTCCATGATATACCAGGATATACATGTCAGTTTACAAAACACTCTTAACAAATTTAAGAAGATTGAAATCATATTAAGAACATTTTTCTACCACAATAAAATGAAACTAGAAATTGATAACAGAAAGAAAACTGGAAAATCAACAAATGTGTGGAAAGTAAATAACACATTCTTGACAATTAATGGGCCAAAACATAATTAAAAGAGAAATTAGAAAGTATCTTGAGACAAACAAGAATGAAAACAAAAATATCAAAACTGACAGTGTACAGCAAAAGCAGGACTCAAAGGGAAATGTATAGCACTAAATACATATATTAAAAAAAGACAAAGGTAAGTAAACAACCGAATTTTGTATCTCAAGAAATTAGAAAAGAACAACAAATGAAGCCCAAATTAACAGAAAGAAGGAAACAATAAAGATTTGAGTAGAAATAAACAATATGGTGAATAGAAAGTCATTGACAAAAGTAAGGGTTGGTTTTTTTGAAAAGGCTGGCAAACCTTAAACTAGACTAAAATAAATAATACACACATAATGAAAAAGGCAACATTACAACTGCTACTACAGAAACACAAAGGATTATAAGAGACTACTGTGAACAATTATTTGCCAACAAACTGGATATTATAGAAGGAATGGACAAATTCCTAGAAACATAAACCTACCAAAGCTGAATAATGAAGAAACAGAAAATCTGAACAGAACTAAAAATATCAAGAAGATTGAATTAGTGACAAAAAACAAACAAAAAAGACCCCCCAAAAACAAAACAAAACAAAAACCTCCCAATAAGAAAATCTCAGGGCCAGATGGCTTCATTGGTGAATTCTATTATACATTTAAAGAATAATTAATACCAATTCTTCTAATACTCTTCCTAAAAACTGAAGAGAAGGAAATACTTCAAAACTCATTTTACAAGTCTTACATTATCCTCACACCAAA